GTGCAGGTCAGGTGAAGTAAGAAGGTAGAAAGAAAATGCAAGATAAAGAGGAAAGTCAGTTAAATGAAGGAGAATACCAAAGAGTGAGGGGGATCACAGAAAATGAACTCAAAGTTGGGAGATGGATATGGGCATGGGAAGAGGAAGGTTTCGTGTTGCCACCCAAGAGCGTCTAACTGACGCCCGAAAATCCTAACCGTAGGTTCACTGACTACACTTACTGGAAGCGAGTTCCAGCGCTCCATTACTCTACGCGATAATCCAGTTTCCGCTCTGTTACGGTCGGAACGCGGCTTGTGTTGCTTCATGAGATGACCACGAAGACAAGGCAACCTAGCTCAAGTCTGTCCAACCTTCCCAGTTAAAATTCGGTAAGGATTAGGTCACTTCGAAGGCGTCAATAGTGCATTGTATACATACCCAAGCTAAGTAGACGCTCGCGGTATGTTTGCCCCCGTAACCCCTCGACCAACTTGGTACCTACTCTCTAAACACTTTCGAGCTCCATTTTGCCCCCCAACGAAGCAAGGCGGGTAAGCCTGGAAGCAATAATTCAGATGGAACCGAACGAAAACTGAGAACAACTTCACAAAGATGCCCGCAGTTAAGACTCCGAAAGAACCGCGTATTAACCATAATATTCTGAAACCCATACTTGCGGCTTTCTTCCAGGTGTCACTAGAATGCAAAGACGAGGAATGGACGACGCCTAGGTCTACTTCGTTAGAGACAAGGGGGAGTTCGACAAAACCGAGCACGTACCTCGAAAGGTGGGAAAGCTGATCTTATAGGAAGAGCGGAACACTTAGCCAGATTAATGGGCAGTAGTCACAAGGTAGACCAGTCCCAGAGTCTGTCCAGGGCATGCTGAATGGCCACAGAAACCCCAGGGTCATTCATTCGTTATACACGTTAGCTAGAGGTGGGAAACACCTCAGCTACTGTGCCGATATACATAAAGGAAAAACGGGGAAAATGCAACAGATTCAAGCCAGCTGAGGTACCAGCAATGGATGGCCATAGTTCCGGTAAGCTACCTGCCGGCTACTATGCAGCAAAAAGAAATTTACTATGCAAAATTATTTAAGGCTAAATAGTGAGATCGTGCTTGGAGCGGGAGGCTAAGAGGGATGGGGTGGGACAAAAAAACAGAACGAACGCCACTGAGGTCGGCTCCTAGCCATATCAACAAGTGTACCTAACCAAATGTGTTCATCGTCTTTGGGACTCCAATCAGGACACCGTGAAGCTACAACCAAGGCCAGCTTCGAAGTGAGAGCATTCATTTCTCTCGACCAATTCATCGCTTGGCCACCTCTCCTCTTCTTCCATCCACACCGCCCGGCAAGCAAACAACGCATGTCGCGGAAGTCCGTGGGCTGGCATGCGTAACACGGTGTCGAGCCATCGGAGCCTGGTGCGTGAAATAACGGTGCTGAGAGGTTCAATTCCTTTGCCTGTGCCGTAAACAAGGCAGCGAACACGGTCGTTGCTCACGCAGTGTTCCCACCAGATGTGAGCTAAACTGCGAAGGCACCGATGGCCGAACGTAACTAGACTCTTTATGTCCGCTGATCTAAGCGGGCAGGTTTCGCAACCATACAGTAAGGTCGAACGTACCGCTGCATTGTACATTCTACTCTTCAGGGCGAGAGTGACGTCGCGCCGGCGCCATAAGTGGCGAAGACTAGCAAAACCACTCCGAGCTTTTGCTATACGCTTCGTGATTTCATCTTCAATCCCACGCTACTCCAACTTCCCAGGTAGTTGAATTTTTAAACGACTTCTAGCTGATCCCCACCAAGGGTCAGCGCAGGAAGCGGTCCAGGCCAATCCTTAAGGAAAGCTTTGCACTTCGATGGTGCAAAGCAAAGCCCGAATCGGCCGACAGCTAGTGCTAATCTGTCCAGTGCCGCTTGTCACTTCTGGGTGCTGTCACAGATTAGGGCAATGTCGTCAGCATACTCCAAGGCAAGAAGTCGTTCTCCTGGGAACAGGTCCACACCTTCTAAGTCGTGTCCTGTGAATGCAATCTCCATGACTTCGTCAATAGCGAAGTTGAAGAGGAAAGATGACAGCGGGCATCATTGTCTCACACCGCTGGAGATACTGAAAGGTAATGACAGCTGGCCGTAAGCCTTCACTCTGCCCGAACTAAGCGCGTATAATGCTACGATAATATTTACATACTTCTCAGCTACACGTTTCCTGAATAAACAGTTCCAAATGGCACGTCTACCCACCGAATCGAGTGCGCCTTTGATATCGAGAAACACAACGGTGGGCCGCCATTATAGGTGACGGTTCTCCAACGACTGACGCAAAGTGAAGATGTGGTCAATGCAGCCACGGCCTCGACGAAATCCGGCTTGCTATTTACGAATCTAGCTTTCAGGAGTGTCATTCAGTTTGTGAAGAATGACAAATGCAAGCGAGTTGGAGGCGATGGAGATCAGGCTGATTCCTCTATGGGTGCCTCATTCGGATCGTGAGCCTCCCTTGAAAATTGGGACTTTGACGAAGCGGGTCCAGTAGGCTGGGACAGTTTCCTGCTCCCACAGTCTGACTAGTAACTCGTGTATAAATAATAAATAATAAATCATCCACAAGAGCAGGTCCCCCGAATTTGAAGAGGGCTGGCGGAAGATCAGCTGGTCTCACTTCTTTATTTAACTTCAACAGATCGAGCTCACGTTCGACTTCTGAGCGAGGGTGGATCCAAAGAGACAGTCCACGGAGCGGGGCGATCGGTGGCCGGCGAGAAATCTAACAATTCCGACCGAATAAATTGCCTTTCAAAGTGCTCAGCCCAACGCTCCAAGCGTTTTGACAAGTTGTGGATAGACTCCACTCACGTCACGTATAGTTGCACTAACACCAAGTCTCCTGCTGCCCGTTTCCCGTATCAGAAGGAATAACAAGATGGTTACCAAGACCAGCGGCCACTTCCATCTCTGATGTATGATTAGACCACCGGGATTCGCAGTCTCTTCAGGCTAGCACAGAGTTTTGCCCGGAGCACTTTGCGAGTCTCATTGTGTTCGCTTCCAGCCAGAATATGTCGGCGAGCATCGATAAGTTCCAGAGATTGCGAAGAGACCCAATGTCCATGTTGGCTATTAGACTTACCACATGAGAAGTTGCCTGCTGCCAGTAATATCTGGTGAACATGCGACCAGTGACCTTCAATTTTATCCAGTGAGCGCTTGCTCAACTCGCATGTCAGCGTATTTTGATAGGCATTCAGTACAGCTGGCTTTGTCAGTTGGCTGGTGTCAATGCGCTCACAGCGTCGTCGTGGGCGTCCACCAAAACGCATCCGCAGGTCAGCATATACAAGTGCATGGTCGGTGCCCACACATATGCTCCAAATCGAGCGACAGTTTTGGACGCAGCCTCACCAGCGGTAACTTATCGCAATGTGATCGATCTGGGTCCATAGCTGGTTCAAGGCTGGTGGGTGCCAAGTCACCCTCCGGCGGGTGTTGTATCGGAAATTAATGCTTGCAAGAAATAAACGAGCATCTTCGCACAAATGAAGTAACCGCTCACGGTTAGTATTACGGGAGCATACACCATGTTGGCCGCCCAGATGCAGTTCATCAGTGAATAATTTCCCAACTTGAGCGTTCAGATCCCTAGCCAGCACTACAGTGTCCGAGCTTCTTCTATGGCGAAGGAGCTCGTTCATCTGGTGGTAGAAGTAGTCTTTTACCGAATCATCGCTACAGTTTGTGGGTGCATAGGCAGTGATGACGAACAGACATTTGTTAGTCTCGCGCAAGTTAGGAGCTTTGAACGAGCCACAGAGCTCGAGACTTGCAGGCGGATCTCCGATAAGCAGTAGGTATCGATCGAGAGGGTCTCTAATGTTCGGGCAAGTGCTGCCTGTCGGACGATCTGCAGCAATGTGCGTACATTGATGCAATGCCAAGTTGAAGAAGTATCGAGGACTTCAAATGGAAGTTGATGAATTGGGCTTGACCGCTTTCTTGGACATAGGCTTGTCGACAGGGCAAGAATGACGCTCCGCGTTCACTTGTGAGCTGAAACTAGAAGGTAAAAG